ATTCTCACTTGATCAAATTTAGTGGTAGTTTATAAATTAATAAACCAAATCATTTAAAAGTATTTTTAATCAAATTATTAAATGAAAAAATTATACATAATAAAATAGAAAATAATTCTTATTCTTTATAAAGGAACCATATAACTACCTACCGAGACAATAAAAGAACTCCGTATATTATTGATTACTAAGTATTAATATGTTATACTTAGTGTTAACTGTATTATTATACAGTATATATATATATATATATATATATAGAATATAGAAAAATACAGAATATTTTACAACCAAATTTATTTTACAATCAAAATATTTATTACAACAGTTTGTATTTGAATCTAATAGTAATGTGTTGGCCAAGACAACAAATTTAAAATCAATTACTAAGAAGGAAAGCGTTGCTCTTGTTACATGGCTAAAGACACTCGATTAAAACTAAACTAATAAATGCATTTAAGAACAAAAATTATTATTCATTTGATTTTGTGTATGATTTTAAAATATAATTTCATTTTTAAAAAATATGTCACTACACAATATTAAATATAAGCACTTTTTTTTAATATTTTTTTTATTTATTTATTATTTTAATAGAAGTAAATGACTTCCAACTCTAAAACCTAAAAACAATATTTCATTATTATTAATACTTTTAATATTATTAATAATAATAAATTAATAAATTGTGAAATATTATGTAAGATTTTTCAAAATAGTATATTTTAAAATATTTTCCTCGTAAACTAATAAAAATGAAATTTTTTAATTGATATAAAAGAAGATTAAATGTAATAATTCTAAAAAACATTATAAGTGTAATTTTCCCAAACCTTATTTAAATATTTATAAATAATTATTAGAATCAGGTTAAATATTTAGTTTACAAGTAACACAATTTTAATTTAGATTTCCAGTGTGACATTGCATTAGTCCAAGTTGAAATTATGCACAATTGAAACATATCAATTTTCGAATCAAAATAAAACAAGATTTTAAATTTGTCACTTTATATAAATAAGGCGTAAATATGATTTTATATTAGTAACTTCATTTCAATTCAAAGATTTATCTTAAAGTTTGATATTTAAAAAAAAAGTTATTAACTTAAGAACAATTAGAAATATACTTTGAAAAAAAGAAAAAGTATGTAAATAAAGACAAAGGGGAGACACAAAAATAAGAAAAAACAAAAACACAAGTAATTTGAATGATTAAGTAAATGTTGGGTACGAGAACAGTGATATAGATAGAGGAAGAACCGAGAGGATATCCTACACAATAGACAGAAAGAAGAGTACAAAGTGGACTGTAGAAATGGTAAAATGAAAAGGCAGAAAAGTAAAAGAAAAAATGTAAAAACGAGATATCAAAAAGGAAAAAAGAGAGGAGGTTAAAGTGAAAAAAGGAATATAGCACGTGATAGAAGAGAAGTAAAAGAGAGTGAGAGAAAGAGAGAAAGGGAGTGAGAATTGAAGAGATGAGGAGAGAGGGAGGAAGCTAAAAGCCGCCGTCGCTCGCTCGTTGAGAACTGCTAATTATGTAAATTGCCGGTATAGCAAATTACCCTCTCAGTTTGCGTTCATTCTGCACACAATCCATAGCGAGTTCGTCAGAGTGCTTGCAATACACACGTTGCCTTGTGGAATCCATTTGCACCGTAGCCGACGCCTCCTCCTTCATGGATACTCACACTATCTGAAAGAAGGAGAGAGAATGCGAGAGAAAGAAAGAATTTTGTAGCGCCGCCGGCGCAAACCGCCCCGTGTTTTCCTTTTCTCCTCGATTCTGCTTCTATAACAGCTTTTTTATTTTATTTACTTCTAAATAGTTTGTAAATTTTTGTTATAAAAATATTTGGATCCACTGTTCAATATTCCCATTGTATCGTTTATAACAGCCCTTATACATAACTTATACATATCAAACAGAATTTATTTCGAAAAATTCATTTTGCTTAATATAAATAAATGATTATATAAATTCTTAATGATAATAAATAAGTAAACTTGTTTGAGATACATATGTTGATATTCACATGTTGAAACAAAGTGAACTATTGGGATTTTCTTTTTCACTATATTTCATTTTCTCAATCAATGAATGCATTTTTTGTCAAATTTTAGAATTAATTACAGATTATATATTATAAACAAAATTAATTCTATATGTATCTAAAACAAAACCATTTTTAATGCTAAAATTATAAAACTTTAAGAAATTATACAAAATTACTTTAATATATATTTTTTACCTTTAAAGTTTTTTGTTAATAAAAAATGGAGATTAAAAATCTAAATAATTATTTGTGTATCCAACTATACCATTGTTTAAAATTTTAATTAAAAGTTTAACTTATTCAACTTATAAATACAATAAAATATAAAATAATTTTTTGAACAAAAAAATTTGTTTTATAGTTCTTATGAATTTCTAAAGTTTGAATACTAAAATATCATCTTAAGATCATATTATCCTTTATTGTTCAAAAAAGGTATATAAATTAAAAAATATATCTCTACTGAATAATATTTTTATTTAACTCTTTAAAAATAAAATAAAATATTAATAAATAAAATTTTCAGTTATAATTATCAGATTGCTAATATTATTTTTTATGAATTTTTCATATATTTGTTTTATAAACTCGTATTTATATGGTTATATAATTAATTATAAGTTTAGTTCTTATCATAATTTTTATTATTTTTTAATAGTGAATGATAATTTAAAAATGAATCAGTTGCATATATTTCATACTAATTAAATACATTTTTTTAAACGAAAATGTCTAAATTTATATTAAGAAACAGAATGCTTGTACATGTGTTTATTTATATTAAGAATATATGTGTAATACGATTCTACTAAAAACAAAATTAAACAAATATTACTCGATGTGAAATAACATATTATGTAAATATAAAAACTATAATTTATTAAATCTATTTCTAGATTATTTTACATTTTTTATTTTTATAATTATAAATTTTTAAGAGAGATTCTTTATAGAAATTAAAAATTCATACATTTTAATATAGTTATTATCATAATCTATTATTATTATAGTGTAAACATAAAAAAATTAATTAAACAAAGTGATTTAAATTAATTTAAATTTTTATTCTTTAAACAAACTAATTAAAAAAAAACATAAAAATACATATTTAATTATTTTCGTATCAATACTTTGCATTAATTTTTAAAATATTGTACAATTAATTATTTTTAGATATCCAATATATTTTTGATATTTGGTTGATTTAAAAGATTTGTATAATATTATTCATTCATTGATGTTTATTATAATATGAGAATAATAAAAATTAATTATACTTCCTAATATTTTCAATTTCTGATATTGTTAAATTCTTAAAATTCATACTCATGTCTTGAAGGATTGAAGGATTTGGAGAAAATCAAATAAAAGCTGTATTGTATAGAGATGTGATATAATTTATTTCGCTATTATATCGCTAAAACACGAACTAAATCATTTTATAGTCTTACAGATTGATGCCTTAAGCATCTCCTGTAAAATCATATTTTCGTATTTACACTTTATGTACATGCGCTTTCGGACACTCACTAGGTCATCGTATTATAAAAAATTTGCAAATGCAGAAAGTAACAATAAATTTTCAATGTCTGTTTAATTTTCAATGCTAAGTTATTTATGTTTTTGTAGCATTAACCTTATTGAAGTCCGAAGCTGTTTTTTCTAAATAATTTAATAAATTTCAGTTTATTTAATAGCCCTTGCATGGAAAGAAAGACTACTGTTCACATCAAAATGAACAATGATTTATAATCCTGATTTAAAAGAAATTGCGTTACACTAGGCTTGAATCCTTACGTTTGGCACTCGCTATATAATCATGAATACACGTAAATATATATTCTGCCCATATTTCTTTATTTTATTTTCTATTTCATAATAATGTAACTTTCTCTCTTTCTCCCCTTTCGGTCTTTTATCTATTACAACTTGTTTCTAATAGTATTGCAGTCAAGGGTTCACACCATTTTGTATATTTTACGTTTCACTTTTCTTCTTATATTCTTAATTATGACGTGGTTATTTACAGTGCCTGAATATGAGACTAATTTTCTTAATCTACCCTTAAATTCGGTATGGAAATCGACTTTGCTATCTCTATAGCTATATGTACATAAAAAATTAGTTCTGGAAAATCCCTTTATTTATCGCTGTTACTTGTCTATGATTTGATATCACATCGTATGAGTTGAAAATACATACTTACATACATACAAATGCACATACAAAAACACATTAACATACACATGTGCAACTGGATAATGTAGAACTGTTCTATTCTTGCATTTCCGTTTAAACAGTAATCACATAATTGCCTGTATTATTTAGATTTACTAATAATTAATTTTTTAATTCTTAGGTTAATCTAATCATTCGATATATGTATGTGCAACTTATTCGGCAATTAATTGATTTAATTGAAAAGTTTGTTGATTTTAAAAAATTAGTCGAGAAGTACACAAATGCCTTTATGAAATTTGTAACAATATTTCCAACAATTTTTAAAAACAAAAAAACCTTAAAGACTTTTAAGAATTCCAAGATATAATATTTTTAATCATAAAATAATTTAATTAAATTATTTTATATTTCAATTTGCTTTTGACTTTTTTACTAATATTATTTTTTTTAAATTAATATGATAATTAAAAAAAATGATATTGTTTTTTAAACATTTTTGTAACATCATCTATATGTTAAAAAATGTATGATTTTAAGTCCATCAATGACATAATTAATGTTAATAAATAACATTGTTTTATTTGAATAAATTTTTAACTGTTTTATTTTACAATAGCATTAATTCATTGTCTTTTACTAATGCATATTGGTGTATTATTACTTCATCGAAATGGATTCAACATCAAATAAATTCAAATCTGCAAAGTTTTTTAAAGCAAAGGAAGGATATTATATAGGATTTCCAATATTTTTTACATAATAGACATTAAAATCCTTTTCACTTTGTCTATTGCTTTATGGTTTTAATCCAGACACAGAACATCTAGCTACACTTCAGAACCACTCGAACATTCGTCAGCCTCTGGGTCAATTCTCTCGTCCTGTTCTTCGTGGTGATAATCGCCTGTCTCCTGCTGCCATTTGTTCACATGATGCGTATTTTTGTTATTGCCGCTTCCATTATTGTTAGAGTTATTATTACCATTCCCTGTAGTAATACCGCCGCTACTGGACTGCTGCTGAGCCTTTACCTCTTCTTCTTGCTGCATCCGCTTGTGCTTAGTCCGTCGGTTCTGGAACCAAACTTTCACCTAAAGAAGTAAAAACATATACGAATTATTATCTAATGTATACAATATATATAGATTACATCTTAATTAAAATAATTATAGGGATAAATTGTAGCGAAACTCATTTACACTGATATATAATCAACATATATAAATAGTATGTAATTCATTTATTTTTATTTTGTATCTTTTAAATTTATTATATCATTATAAACTTACATTAAACAATAAAAATAAATTACACATTGTACCAGTTTTTCAATTATAACTTATCTGTATTTCTAAAGATCAGTCAAATATAAAATTAATTTATTGTTAAACTTTTTAAATAAAAATATTTTTTAAATATAATACTGTTAAACCTTGAAATTTTTAGAATATTTTTAGAATTAATTTGACAGTCGACAAAATGAAATAAAATATAAACTATGTATATTGTAAACAAAAATAATTAAATTCATTAAAACTTGTTTTCGTTTATTGTTTGAATAAATCATTCAAAATAAATCTCTGACTGATTTGGAAAGATTTTATAAAATGTTTGAGATGCACTACTACTGAATAAGAATTAAAAAATAATAGATTTTTAAAATTGAAATACTAAAAATGTATTCTTACCAAATAATTACTGGTTCTAAATCCCAATTTAAAATTTGTGGAATAATTTAATTTTTATTAGTTAAAACATGGAGGAAAAGTTTTATAAATCACATATTTGTAAAGAAAAATACTACATAAGAATGTATATATCAACTTTTAGTTTTTAGAAAAAAAATCATTTTTAACAATTATCTTTAGAAATATGTAATTACATATTGTATAAAATTAAATTTAATTTTTTATAAAAACTGGACCTTTGAAAAACAGTAAAATTGTCTTTAATTAACATGGTTAATCATTATAATATTATCAGATAAACGATAAATATGTATACTTACATATTTATAGATAGAGAGAGAGAAAGGGAGAAGTTACGATAGAAAAAAAAGAAAATATAAAAAGGGCATCTGCAATCGCCATTTTCTTAATTCAAGGAATAAGAGATAAGCTATACTCAGATGTATCACCTTAATTATTCTCCATCGTTCTTCTCTAATACTCACGCGTCATGAACTTCCTGCGATCACTTTTTTCTTTTTTTTTAGCATTCCTTAAATAGCAGCAAATTAAAAATCTCGAAAAATTAAGACGAAACTACTTTGATCTTTTATCTCATTTTTCATTTACCTTTCTATCATTCTTTTGCATCCTTTGAATATTATTTCCCCTCGTTAGAAAATAAAACGCAAGAGCGGATCGTTTGACTTTTTTCCCCTAACCCCTATGTTGTGAAATGATTTTTCACATGTGATGACATTTCACAATGTGAAATGATCGTTGATTTTCTGTGAAAAGTATACAATGATGACTGTAAATCAGAATCCATTTACAATAGCAATCATTCGAAATAAATAAAGTGCTTACTATAATAAAAGAATGAATTAAGTTATACATGCACAAATTCATTTATTTAATTTTATATTTTTATTGTTTTTATTCCTCACTTTTCACTTAGAAAATTAATATTTTTAGAACTTAATGCTAAAGTTTCTAAGTTGATTAATGAAATAATGTATATTGCTTTAAAATGGAATGTAATAAAATTTTCAGAGTGAAAGAAATAGAAATAGAGAGATAGAGTCAATATGCAAAGTTAGAATACATAAAAAAAGAAACGACAAACAAAGTAAAAAAATGTAATAAATAGTAAAGTCAACACAAAGAAAGAAAATTAAATTCAATTTAATGTAATCATATAAAAAGAGCTAATAATATGAGCATTATGTTCTTCGGCTCGACATTCCCCAAAATAAATGTTATCATATCATGGTATGCATTTCCCCGTCATTCAAGTCGATAAGGAGCTTTGGATGGGGTAAGGGTAATGGTGCGTTAATACTTGCGCAAGAATACAGCCACGCGTGACCAATTGTGTGTCTCTTCCGCATTGTAACAACCAAGCCACTTAGCAAGCGATTAAACGAACAAATATAAGAGAATTGTATATTTAGTTATACATCCTTCTCTCTCCATTTGATCATAAGTAGTAATTCTATAGGTATACATACTGGCTCAAACTCATATTCTATAATTCTATTTACTGACTTTTCGATCATTTATAAAATATATTTCCCTTTACAACTCTGACCTCCTACTTGTACGTATAAGTGCTTATGGAAAAAAAAATAAAGAAAAATAAAGAGCAATGAGCGAATAAACTTGAGATTCCAATTCGTTTAATAGAGTTATATTCTCCCAATACATCAAATTTTTTCTGCACGTTCTATCACGTCGATCCATTTTGTAATCGCATATTTTGAAGGGGTGGGAGTTTGGTTGCTATGGTAACCTCCCGCCTTGAAAGTCACATCTGGGATTGGTGAATCTTCTTCTCACAATGTCTGTATATATGGGAGACACTCAAAAGAGGTAGCTAATGTCACACATTTCCCAAGGGGGTATTTGTGGAATAGACGGGGATGCTATGCAAGTCGAAAACATACGTGTATGCAAAGGAAAGATTTGCAGTTAATGAATTTGACCATTTTCTTTCAACTCTAATCTATTTATCTTTCGCATATATATGATAGATCCTTAGTTGTAATGACATAAATTTTTAAAGAAAAAAATCATAGTCATTACTGAAATCAACGATAAAAATTATATTTTTAAAGAATTGTTCCAAAATACTTAATATTTTGTACATTTTATATCTAGTTTGATTCGTAATTGAATAAAATGATTGTTGTTACAAATATTGTATCAAATATTACAATTGCGTATACATTTATTTTTAAAATTAATATTTTTAACATAACATGCCTTCCGAAATGAACAAATAATAGAATGAATAAATAAGTTCATTGATTGATATAAGACTGGCAAATTAAAAATATAACTAAAAATAATTAAATTAATTAAATAAAATATAATAATATGGATATAATGAAATTTTTATATTAAATGTATAACTTAAAGTTATTTTATGTTATTTTTATTATAATCATATATAATTTCAAGCATATAGGATGGATTATTATAATAAAAACAAATCGTTTCAATATCACATTTCATTGAAACCAACTTCTCAAATACGTTCAAAGTTTAATTGCATAAAAAAATATCCTTTGTTAACATAAATATCCTTATAATCCTTATATGAAAAAGAGGGTCTGAATTCTAAGAAAGTAATATATTACTAAATTGAAAATTTCATAAAATTATCTTAATTCGGTAATTTACTATTCGTAATTTTTAATTAGTTCCTAACATACTTTAGTTATAAGTGTACACGATATGTAAATATAAATTTTCCAATAAAAAATTATTGCGAAAAGCTGTTTTATTTCTTTGACAAAATTTCGCTATAGATTCAACTTCAATGTAAAATTGATTCATATTAACAATACATTGTCATCTGAATACTATCAAAATTAAGTAACTTACAAAAACATAAAGCTTACCTAGAATTATATTTCTATGAGTAAATAAATAACTAAAGCTAATATAGATAGATAGTACAACAGAAATTAAACATCATCATAGTACATAAATTTTAATATTCTTTTATAATGAGTAAAATAGAGTCATAGTAATCGAAAAACCTATTAAAAATATTGTATTTTTGATACAATAATTATTCTTTCGTATATTTTAATGTTTTGTTTATACCTATTATTTTATTATAATTTATTATAATTTACTTATATTAAATTTAATATAATGCAAGAAAATAGTAATGAGAAAATATTTTTATATATTTATCCAAAGAAAAAGAGTATATAATTGTACATTCCTATATATAAAATGGAATGTTATTTATTTGATAGAAAAGTCTTATGAAATCATTAATTAATATTCAATAATAATAATTTTAATTATTAATAAATATTATTTAAAATACAAATATTATATTTTTATCTCAACAAGTCTCAAAAACAAATAAATTCGATAATTCAATTTTTCACGTATTCTTATTATTGTTTTTATACTTATTCTTTATATTGTTTATAGCTTATTCAAAATATCTTATAGAAAATATTTTATTATACCTCAAATTCAATACAGTTACTAATAAAGATAATAAAGAATAATGTTAATAATATAATAAAAATAATAAAGTTTTATTTAGTAAAATATAAAAATATTAATCGAATTATTTAAAATTGAATATATTTTTTCAACTATATTCAAAACAAAAATAAAAATAAAATTTTTTTTAAATAATTGATTACATTATATTCATATTAGTTATTATAATAAAAGCAATGCGTTTCTATAAATATTTTTTGTTAATTATTATTGACTGTAAATAAACTTAATATATAACTTCAATATACATATAAAATTAAAATTATATGAATTTCTTCTTCATTTGGAAAAGAAAATTTAAAAAATGAAATACATAAATCATTAAGATTAAATACATAAATTTATATTTATGAATAAATTAAATTAATAACCCGTGTGTAATATTCATTATTGTAACTGGATATAATTAAATCTATTTATTTTATAAAATATTTTTAATATAATATTTTTAATTCTTTGCAATTTAATTGTTGATTTAATATTTTATTAATTGAAACAAAATCTTATTATTTAATTTAAAAACTTTATTTTTAATCTATTAAAAATTTTTAATTAAAAATATGTATTACATAAATAATAATAATAAAATATATAAAGTTAAATATTATTTAACTTTATACAGCAATATATAGACAATATAACGTAGTTATAAGTAAAAAAAAAAATATTTTTGAAGGAAAAATGTATCTTCCAATACTTAACATCATTACATACATAAAATCGCTATTTTTCTCATCACTGACACATTCTTTTTAATCATCACTGTTCGTCTCTGTTCTCCAATAAACTCTTTAGCATGTAATATTTATTTTAAAATACTAATATAAAATCTGTTGATACAATAGAATTTCAGCAACTATGTACAACATACTTATAGTTCATATTAACTTTTGTACTTTATCACATTTCTTAATGTTGTTATAAATATATATCTTATTTTCATAACATATATAATATAAATTAAGGATATAAAAAACTAAGCAGATGTATTGATAATTATTTTTTACAAACTGTTGAAGGAAATATTTTAAAAAGGGACCTTATATTTTTTTTATCTATACATAATTAAATCATATCAATATAATTCAATTAACAAAATAAAATTTCCATCGTTCTAAATAATTGTGATTATACTGTTATATAAAGCAATAAAAAACCGCTGATTGTTTTATAGTAAGCTATCATACATTTATTAAACCAGAAAATACAAAATTTCTAAACCATTATTATCTTATCGTATCTTACTCTATAATTGACGCCTGCGCGTTACAATGGTATTTATATAAATGTATAATCCTTGAAAAATGTAAATAAATTATAAAATTATAAAATTCTGATTTTCTTTATATTGTATTTATTTATTTTGATTTTATACCTGATATAATATATTAATATAAATAATTTTTTTATAAAAGTAAACCCATGTGAAAAAAATGAATTTATAGGTTTATAAATTATAAATATATAGTATATAATAAGTAGTAAAAAAATTTAATGTTATATATGCATACAAAATATTTACAATTATCGAATCTTAATATTTTTTATAATTTAAAAACTAAGTTCTGAAGTAATGTTGTTTAAAATAATTCCCAAAGTAAAACGTTCTGTAGCAATAAATATATGGTATTCATTTGAATATGTTTTTCTTTGAGAACAGAAATAAAAACTATTAGATAATTTATTCTTAAATATTAAAAAAAACAATATTAAGAAAAAATAAATTTAAAAACAAGAAAAGTTTTTTTTGGCAAAGTCACCTATAAATAAACATTATATATTTTTTCTCTTTTTGATGAAATTTGTACATATCAAATCTTATTCCATTGTAACAAACGTTTCTTATTTAGATTAATAATGAATATAATAATTTTTTTCTATTTTCTCATCTCTTTCTAATTATCTGTCCACATTTAAAATTTGTAAGAAGAACATAGAATGCAAGAAACGAAAAATCTATATGTATATTCATATAAAGTACGTTCAATCATATTCAAATCAGAAAAATAATTGTAATTTATATCGTTATTTTATATCGCTACAGAAAAATATTATACTAGAATAAAAGACTAAAAAAGAAAAGATAGAAAATGATCTAGAAATTATATAATAGAATTTGGCAGAAGGTAACAATATACAAAAAATTGTCAAAAATAGTTCCACCCTCTTTGTAAAAAGATTATTTATTATATATTCTACCTTATTGAGTTAATCGCAATAATATTTTATACATCTCATTTACTTTAATTTTTTCCTTGTAATCACAGTATAGTTTATTGACAAAAATAGTATAACAGATAAATATTCTTCATTTATTTAAATATTTTAAAATCTTAGTAAAGATTAATACATATTTTATTTATAAAACTAAATTTTGTTCTATTGTATTTGTTATATTATATAGATATTATTTTTTAAAACATTTTATTAGAATTACATGTAATAAATTAAAAAATTTGATTTAGTAATTTTGTATTTTCTATTTTTAGTTGTAAATATAATATATTTTTCTGAGTTCTTATGTTCCTAAGGTAATAATAAATGTTTCTTAAATACAATTTTTTTCACGACCGCCATTCCAAAGATTAAACAATCGATATTTTTTCAGTTTTTTAAATAGATTTAGACAAATACTTATAAAATACAAAAGACAAAATGAAGATTGTTATACATTCTAAAAAGTACTTGCATACATATTTTTTCATGCGAAATTTGAAAAATTTTATTTAAATATATATATATATCTTTATGAAATATAAATGAATTATGATAAAAAAAATCCCGTTTGTATAAGTAAAATTATCGTATGAATAAATAAAACTATCGTATAAAGTAATTATACGTCTTTTTTTTAATTGCATATTTGTTCACGAAAAAGTAATCCTTCAAAACTTTGTAAAGTAGTTGTACGTCAATTGTATAATTTATTATGTGATATATTAAAGTAAAATAAGATTTACGTTCATGTATTACATTTAGATGTATGTATTACATTTGTATATAAAATATTATCATTTATAGAATATAAATTATAATAATAAGTTGGTATAAGGTTTATTTCCTGCTTCATTATAATCAAAATATTTAACACGCAGATACTGTATAATTTAAAGAATATAAATATTAGTTGCTAAGTTAACATTATTATGTAAATGAATATAAATATATAATATAATATAAATTAACATTTTTAGTAAATGATTTGATATTATAGTTGCTGTCACTGGCATTATGAAACGCTTAATTTAAAAAAATTACACTATATAACTATTAAAGCGTACCAACATAATTTAATAGTACCAAAATTATCCTAAAATTTAGTTTTTGCAAAGCTTTATTTATTCATAACACTATTTATAATTAAAACCATCTGGAGGAATTTTCATTGTAATAACGTTTCCACCATAAAAGTGATTTAACTAACTTTCATAAAATTGTCCATGCATTTAATTACTTAAAATCATGAACTCGAAGTAATATCCATATTAAAAAAATATATATATATCCATGTAATTACTAAAATATGAAGTGATTACTAAAAAGGCATGAAAATTAATTCTGTTGACCAGTAAAAAATATCTTGATTGGTAATTACTAAGTAATTTTTTGATTGGTTGATCACCTTTTTTGAAGCGATACATTAATTAAAAAAAATATTATACAGTAAATTAGATATTGCATAATAAAATTAATTATATACTCTTAATAACTTATAATTCTGAAACATTAATAATACTTAGTATCAATAGTTTTTTATTGTAATTATTCATATAATCTTGAAAAATAGTTGTAATATATTAGAAAATTATAAATTTAAATTAATTTTGAAATTTGAAGTTTATTTTAAGCTTAGTGAAACTTAATACACTAAAGTAAGTAATACCAAACCATTTAATTTTTCATTTAAAAAACGTTTACATTAATAAAACAAAGCATGTATATCTATCCAGTTAAAAATTTTAGAGTTACTTGAAAAACAAAACCTAAAATATTACTTTATATTATAAAAATAGATGAAATAATGGTAAATATGATCATGTGTAATCATTGAATAGTTCAGTATTAATTTTAACTATTTCTGATAAGATAAACTTAATACGTCATTACTAATATTTATGTTAGTTGTAAAATTAAAAATATTGCGTGATGTTATAAAAATTTTAATAAGAAGATCAAATAACTTATAAATTTATTTTGCAAATCCGAATCTAATTGTTCTATTACTATAATCAATTGTTTATTAATTATTGATTTATTATTAATTATGTATTCATAAAAGAAAATGATAATATTAATTTTATTAACAGATGTTATTATATGTACACATTGTAATGTTTATTGATAAATACATAAATATATTAGTAACCTAAACTGTTTTGTATAATAAACTAATAAAAATATAAATAATTCCAAACTACATTCACGCATGTTTATTGGCTCTAAGCCAATAAATATTTTGATGTTACCATGTGAAAATATAATTCTTTATAAAGTTTTGAACAAGTTTTCATAATTATGTGTTTATTTTATTATCGTTCAAATTAGTATTTTCATAAGTAATTTAGAAGAAGAAATTTGAACTTAATTTTTTTACAGCCTAACATTTAAAATATCCTTACTCATGAAGTCAGGTATATAATTTATGCTATTTTGCAAATTGATCTATCATCTCAGTCATATAACATATTCATTTATTTTATATAAGGTGTTTAAAAAAAGGTGCAGATGTACATCTCACCTGAGTTTCAGACAGTGAAAGGGCCTGAGCTAGTTGCTTCCTTTCCGCTCCAATGACGTAGTGATTTTTCTCAAAGGCGTGTTCGAGCTTTAACAGCTGAGATGGGCTAAATGCCGTTCTTATTCTTTTTGGCTTACGAAAGGGCTGCAAAAGGAAGCCAGGTATGTCTGGACCTAAAATTAAAGAAAATAAACTATAAATATTTTAACATTGAAGATTTTAATTCGTTATACCACGTACACGATATTATAGCTTATATTATTTTTAAGTTAAACCATTATTTTAATCAGAAATTCCATATTAGTTGTATGAAAAAGTATAAAAGTTGAATTAAACTTAAGTTTAGGGTAATAAACATTTCAATGTTTAGCAAGTACTTACATTAATATTATGAAAGTTCTTGCACTTTTTATGTAAACTTCCTATTTCATTTTTGTTGTTCGCTAATTTATTTTCATTTCATTATTGATTTTTAATATTCAATAAAGAACATTTTATTCATAATTCAATAATAAATTAACAATACAGTTAATTGTTAAATTAACAATACAATGCAATAATTAGTAAAAATACTTTTATAAAATATGTTAGTAATTACAAAATTAAATTATATTAAAAAATAATTTTTTTTTACAAATTCTTTAATTAAATCGTAATCAAAAATACAATAAACAATACTTTATTTAAATTTCAATAAAACTTTGTTATACATTAACCTTGATTAGAATTAAATATTTTTACAAAATGTTAAAACATATTAAAAGTTCGTGTTTACTTAAGTTAAAGATGAATCTATAGCAATATAGAATACAATATTCTACTTCGACGAAATATATTAAAAAAATTTTTCACATTAATATATTAAATCCGGAAGTCGTTAGACTATTGAAAAATGCAAAAGTAAGAGAGCTACTTACAATGCAATATAATTTTTTTATTTATAAACATTGCTATTCCTGTATTTTAAATGTGTAAATTTTGAAATTAAATATTTATATTTTAATAATGTTTTTTATCGTATAGCAAATTTGTTTCAAATATCACTTCAAATGTTCGATTCAAATTTAATTAAATAACTAACGCTATTATATATACAGATAATTAACGAATGAGGAATTCAAAAATACAACAAAACTTATTACTTTAAATGTTATTTTAATATATTTAACGAAAAAATAAAATTAGAATAAATTCATAACTGAATACATACTTTTCAATATCTTAAAAATTAATATATTCGATTTTATTTAATAAAAATTTGTTTAATTAAATATAAAATGTTTAATCAAATTTACAATCGAAAATTTTTTTAAGTTCAATAATTTGTTAATTTTTTTATATTAAAGAATTGAATTTTGTTATCTTAAAAGTGTAATGTATAATTCATTTTTTTAACGAGGAACTAAAATAGTAATACAAATATAATTAAATATTAGATAACAAATAATATATAGATAATAAATAATATATAGTTTACATATAAAAACCAAAAATTATACAAATAAGTTATAAAATTATAATGTTGACGTGAAACAGATACGGTTCTTATACTATTATACTTATATATATATATATATATATATATATATATTTATATATATTATTTATTTATTTATTTATTAAATAGTTATTGTTTACAAAAAACTTTTTAATATAACCGAAAGAGTAAAACAATTTTATTTGGAATTATTTATAAATCGAGGTATTTAAATAGATAAATTATTTTGTGTAATTAATCACGTAAAATTAATTCGATTTGTATTTCTATATTTATCTTCTACATAATTTCTAAATTAAAAAATGAACATTATAATTATATTATGTTTTTCTATCATAGTTACTTCAAATAAAAATCTAGTTTTATACTTTTAATTATTTGTTCTTTACACGAATCAATTTTTAATAATTCAGTTACTAAGTATTTAGAAACTTTATGAATTAAGGAAACTAAAAAAGTTGCATAATTACAAAAGGTTATATAATTACAAATTATTATTTTGCTAAGTATTTATTAATGTACATGTTTCAACAATACTTGAGAAATATTAGGAATACGATTTTCTTTGACGCCAAAAAACCTTGAAATATAATTCACAATATTTTATTTTGAAGCATTAAACATGATTGTACAACTATATATAATAATATTCAATTATTTACTAAAGAAAAGCAAAGACTTACAAGTATAATGCTATGTATAGAGAGAAAATGACGCGTATAAATCAGATAACATAAAACTGGAATACAAATTTATAATTAGCTACGAGAGTATAAAGCCGATTAAATTCCACATTTTAGTAATTACGATAATACTTTTTCTTAAAAGCACAGACATTTTTATTAAAAAATCTCTTTTACATAAAATATAATTTTTGAAAAAAAGAGCAACTGTAATACTATCTAGTTTTATACAACTATATACATTAAAAAATGTAAGCATCATTTCTTTTTCTTCTTTTTTTCGTTTTCTTCTTCTTTTTCTTCTTCTTCTTTTTCTTCTTCTTCTTTTAACAAATTTTTAAAAAGATGTGTCTTCTTCTTCTCTTTTTCTTCTTCTTCTTCTTCTTATTATTATTATAACAAATTTTTAAAAAGATGTGACAATATAGCCAAGGTCCAATTATAAAAATTTAACACTTTATAATCTATATCTCTTGACAGAATATCAACCTCGAAAAAAACTTTAAATAAAACAGTTGATAAAATACAAACAATATTTTATTTCCTTGAGAAATAATTACAGCCAATGATCCTAATCATTTTCGAAGTTATTAAATTATAATAGCAATTAAGAAATATAATAGCAATTATATGAATTCCTTACTGTAACATGTAAATAACAAATAAAACATCTTTCACTGTAGAAATAATAATTTTATTTCATACCTTCAAATGTATATTCGTATATTTATTATGTAATAAAACTAAGAATTCATGATTTTCTTTAAAAATTACTGTAAAAAATGATATTTATTTCCATTTATAAAGAAAAATCAATTAATAATAGATTTGAATTTATATAATCAAACTGATTGCTATTTTTCGATAATTTAATCAATAGCATTTCTACATAAATTTAATATTAAAAAAAAAAAATGAAAACGATACGTAAGTATTTTTTCTGAAATATTTTAATACAAAGAAGAATCTTAACAAGCATTGACTTCAATAAGAAATATTAAAAACTAAGTTGTAGAGCCCTTCGTTTTATATGTTTTAAATTTACGCACATAATATTATATCGATTTTTCTCTAGTAATGAAATGCAAACCTCTCAATTGTATTATAATCAATTTCTAAAATTTCAAAAACATTCTTTTTTCTTGTTATCAAAATAAAAAATATTTGAATGAGAGAGATCCTATTATTAATAAATATTTTAAGAAATTATAAATTATCTATACTTGATAATTTTATTAATTCGACTAAATGACTAGTTTGACCTTAAATTATTTAAAAAGTTTATAACAAAAAACAGTGTTTTTATAAATTCAAAACATTGGTTTTAAATCGGATCTTACTAAGATAACATACAAAAGGTTACGAAGATATACATTTAAAGAATGATTGAAGTTTGTATTGATCTTTACTTAGATATATTACTTTTTGATAACTCATATTTTATTGAATAGGCACAGAATATTAGTTAAGCAAAAGAAACTCTAAGTGATATTTACTTTCACATACGATCAATAATTATTTATATCATGGTTAATAGAAAAATAACAATATATTATTCATCGATTTAAAATACTTGTTGAAAATATTAATACTTTTTCATTTTGAAAATTGTATAATTTTGTATAGCTTCTCTACAAATTAAAACATCTTTTGATTTAGAAAATATATCTAACTTGTCTATTACAGTAAAGTTTATTACCAAACGTAAAGGTTTAATTACCAACAGAAATCTAACTAAATAATACCGATTAAGAATGATATTGCAATATAATTGTATGTTATAATTGTTAATTATGGTATTCAAAAAATATTTTACATTTGTATTTCACTGTATATTTTAGAACGACTACAAATACAAAGTTTATACACGAACTTTGAATCTGTGGTCTTTTACACAATACAAACAACTTTCATTAACATCAATTTGTACAAATAAAATTCATATATACATATTACATATATTTTTATATAAATATGTTGATAAATGATTAAATATAAAAAGTTACAAACTCATCTTGTCAACATTAAAAACATTTCATAGTACATGGAATTTTCGTTTCAGAGAAAAATACAAACAAAAATGTACAACTTTCTAGAGTTAAAGTTTTGTTTTCTTCTTGATGTGTAGTTTTAATAAGAATATGTATGTGTAACAATACTGAATACATATAGCAAAAAATTATATTGTATTTTATAATCGATAAAATGTAACGGTGATTTTATTAGCAACAAATGTGACTTTTATTATTTTTGTAAATAACTTTAATAAGAAACGCGATTGATTAATGTATATTATTATCGCTTACTGTAAATAGATACATTTAATTGATTCTTTGTTTTAAACGAGAAAATAATATTTATTATTCAATTCAATTGAAACGTATATTAACAAAGTAAAATGAATTTGATAAATTATTGAATTAACTTAAAACTCATTTTTTAATTTATCATGTACGCTAACTCACACGATTTCAATATGATTTAGTTAAAAATGAATTATCATATAAATAATGTTGAGTTTAAAAATGCTAAATTAAAATTTAATTTTTCAGTTAATATAAATATACAAAATGCTAACAAGATATGCAATTTAAGTATAAGATAAGATAGAAAATATGTGTAAGAAGGCTAATTTAAAAGTGTGATTTCAATTATAAATAAAAACTTCAAATTAAAATAAAATTCAAATAAAATAATATTATTAAGATTAGTATTTATTTATAAAATAATTTCAATTTTAATTAGTTAATTTCTTATGTTACTTATAATTCTTTAAAGATTAAAATTAAACTATAAAAATAGAAATATTATTTTTATATAATTTAGTAATACATCTGTATTAAGTAAATTGTAACCATTACTAATTAATTGTTATCATTTCCAGTATATTTTTATAGTAATCGACCGTTTGATTACAAGCTTTTAAAATCAGTACTATGATCATTTATATGCACAATTACAGACCTAATATAGTGTATTGATTTAGTCTTTTATTGTTTCACGCTTGAGTTGTAAACTCGGTTACTACAGTAAATCTTACAAGCAGTCTTGAAATATAACGTAAATAAATCTCTTTTTCATGTTTTAAAATTCTGATTATATCCTTTTGAAAAAATTTTCTATGTAAAACATCCTTTCAATTAATTAATTAAGTCAATTAATAAGCACAAAGTACAACTTATATTCTTGTACACTAATAGTCAAATTGTAGACTAAATAATTTAAATTAAATTAAATTTACTTTCTATTATTATTCTTATTTTTATTTTATTTATAAAATATATGTATTACTGATAATATTTTAAATATTTTTATGATTAATATATTCCAAAAAATATGAATTTCAAAATATTGCATTAATTACGATATTTATTTTTTTTTAGAAGTTATAAGTTAAATAAAAACATAAATATTATATTATATTTGTTAATAAATAAACAAACCATCAGTGCCTTGAAAAACAGTAAATAGTCTTGAGCTCATGATATAAAAAATCTTTGAATAAAATATATATCTAATCAACCTCATATATATTCTACACATTTATAAAGTGGGCCAATGACTAGTAACTGACACGTAGTATTACAAAATCTTGAATTACGATAGCTTGCGCAATGAAATCTTAGGCAAAGAATTCTGTAATGATAATTATTTGAACATAAGTTGTTATTTCTTGAAATAAGTTGATCATTAGTTTCAGAAATTTAAGATAAATTATTTATGAATAAAAACAAAAAATATCTAGTAAATTTTCAAATAAAAAATTGAAAAATTTTTTAATTTATTTTAAAGTTATGGTAGTAAAATATTCACAAAGTTCTTTGTTAATTTACTCCATTACTATATAATTTGATATAGGCAAGTACTAGACAGTATGTAATTTCATTTTATATTAAATCTTTATTACAAAATATTATAGACTTTGTTAATATATTGTTAGATATTTTATATATTATACTATATTATACTTTATAATCTTAAAAAAGTTTTCATAATATAAGTTTTTATTCAAATATATAAATAAAATAATAAAGAATTTAATTTCAAATCAATTACTTTCCATTAAATTATTTCCTTTAAATATATTATTGAACATATTACATCTCATTATTCAGTTTTATATTTAGTATATTAAATTATAAATGATATACATTTTATTTTATGTTCTACAATATTTTTATGTTCTACTTATTGAAAAAATTACAAAGTACTTATGATTTTTTACGTTTCAATTAAATTGAAAAAGTAACGAATTATTTAATGACTTTATTTGTTAAAAGTTAGTTACATCCAATTATTTTAAATGATTATAATTACACAAGCATTTGCAAAGTGATAAAATAATTATTCTAATATTGAAGGATTTTAAATAGTCTAAATTCAAATAATATTAATTAATATCATTATTACTAATGCATTAATTGACTAGAACTACACTTAAAATTTCGATTCTCATATAATGTGTATATACTTTTTATTTTATAATCATCGAAAAGTCTAGTTGTGATAAAAATAAAATGCAACAATTTATAAAAGTAGATATAAAGCAAATTATAGTAATATTTCAACAGTCACTTGTAAATAAAGTGACAATATAATATATATGTTACATTATAATAAATCAACAAAGTGCCTTCTAATATAAACACGAATAATGTTTTGAAAAATATTTGGATCTGCAGTTCATATCTTTAGAAATCAATATATATTGATTAAGTTAAGTGTCTTCTGACGTTTAAAATTTGAACCGCCCATATATGATATTCTATAGTTAAATTGTACCAAATCCAAGATTAAGAAAAAAAGCAATAAAAACTAACCTCCTGGAAATCTTTGTGGGAAGATACGGCCATGCCTAGACAATAACCACGGATACAGGGGATAGCTATCTCTTGGCGGTTGGTGGGGATGAGGAGGCGGATGGGGTCCTGCAGGCCCACTGGCATGTGGATAGTGCCCATGTGGTGGACCGTGATGGGCTTGTAGCGCCACCGCAAGATTTGCTGCTTGAAAGTGTTGAGCCGCTGCAATATTGGCTGCGAGAGCCAGATGTTGTGAGTGGTACTCGTTTTGGGCTTGTGGCCCGCTTCCCGTATGACTTGCAGCCGGCAGCCCATATAGGCTCTTGAGCTGCTCAGCAGCAACAACAGCCGCCGCAGCTGAAGTTGTTCCGGGCGGTGGACCCAAGTAGTTAGGGCTGGGTCGTACGACCCCCGGCGGTTGTTGAGGATGGCTCACAGCGGATGGCGCTGGTGATTCGCTGTTTCGGCTACTCATTCTATGTACTGGCGGACTTGGTGAATCATTTGGCGTAGAGTCGCCACTGTTACTTCGATTTGTTAAAGATCTAGTGCTATAATCTAAGTGTTGGTGAGTGCGATGGAGCTGATGTTGTTGAGTTAATCGATGGTGCGAATGATGATGATGGTGACTCTGGTTCGATTGTTGTTGTTGATGCTGACTTGCCAGTAGCGATTGATGATGATGATGTGAGCTCGAAGGCGTTCTAGAGTTTGAATAGGACTCTACGGAAGAGCTTCTCGAAAGTGGCCTATCAGACTCCTCTGAATGAGCACCTGGCGAGCGAGCTTCACCACTGACGAGACGGATATGGGTTCTCGAGGTTGGCGAAGAAGAGCTACCTTCGACAATGTCCATGGGTGAGATGTCATCCCGTTCAATGTCAAGACGATGGTCCGATAGTCTCGTTGAGACGTTGTCTTCGTCATTTCGGTTGCGACCGCCTCCTACAATTGAGTCGATACTGAAGCCGATCTTCGGCTTGGAGGGAACTGGGACTATTGGCGTCGGCGCAAGCGGCATCATCGTATGCGGCGACACGACGCCTGGAAAAGCACCTCCAACTTTCAAGATCAGCTCGGCGATTTTATACGAAATAGGTTTAAAAAAAAGATGAAAAATAAAGAAATATAGAAGGAAAAAAGAGAAAGAGAAGATGAAAAAAATAGCACAAAATAGAAACAACAAAATCACGAGCTCAAATTTTGTAATTTATGTTATAAAACCGTTTAAATGTCGCGCATAATTTAGTCACATTTAATTCGACTAATAGTTCACGAGAGTTTTCACCAAAAGGACAGATCAATATTGCTTACTATACTTTTAACAACACTGTTCAATGATCACGAATGCATTGTATGAATGGAGCCACAAGGCTCCTTTGAATCTAACGGCAATCACAAGATCTATACCAGCAGTTCCCTGCATATCTTCTTTTATTTAAAAGAAATAAGTCACGCGCACTGATACAATCGGTGATCACTTTGCATATTATCTCATACAATTAGTAAAATATATTATTAATCAGACACTAGCCAAAATCGCTGCACTAGCAAGAAACACTATGCTTGTCTCGAATACTTAAACTTCCTAGAACACTCGCGTCACTTGCATATGTAAATTATTAAGCGTAAAAGAGGTCCGTATATCGTATTACTGCTGATCTCACGCGAACGTAGCGAGATACACTAATCGGCTATGAGGAGAGCGAGGGCACACTCAGACACAGCCGGTAAGAAGGCTTGTTAGTGTTTGAGAGAAATTATCGGCTAAACGCCACTCTCCCTAACAGTTCCGGAACTGAAAGTGGGGAGTTCAATCGAGCTTATGTTTTCCCCACTACTCAACGCTTTTGCAAGTTCTGGAGTAGCGACTGTAATGCAACTACTAGAGGGGAGGCATACAGCAGCCTCTAAACTGCAGTGGGCGTAGCCCACTCTTGTGAGAGGCGGGCCGAACTACCGGCTAGAGGGCGTAATCGCACGAGTATTCCATTGGCTCTTGGGTAGACAGACTTATAGCTGTGTATTGCGATTAGCCGAAAGAACAACATCAAGGAGAGAGGATAAATAAACCAGAGAAAGCAAGTATTAGTCCAGCTATGGGCGTTGATCGACGGGCTTTTGTCTTGCTTGCTCTCATCGTCGACTACTTCGTGCCTTTGTTCCTTCTCTTTTCTCACGCATGTGTTCGTTTAGTTTCCGTCTCCTCACCCCATCTGATTCTTTTATTTTTTTTGTGTAGCGATGAAAATGAGCTGTTTAATTAATACGTCTGGGAGCGTCGAGTGTTACTCGTCACGCGTATATATATACATGTAACTTTTATTCTTTTATTGTAATACGTATACGCTGAAACTTAGAAAAAGCAAATCTACTACTGTATTGCTTTTATTAAAAAATTGCAAATTTATTTATACTTGGCATATATCGCATGACATATTATATAATTAATCGCATATTATTATTTGTGGTTAATAAAAATTCAAATTGAAATTTGGAAATTGAATAGAAATATTATTTAAAAAATTATTTGTTATTTAAAATTATATTATTGATAAATTCATTATTAATTAAAATTAAATTTTTTTATTTCATGGTTTATAATATACTAAATATTATTAAAAAAATATTCAAAATTATCCTATGAAATCAATTTAAAAAAATTCAAGTAATAATTAATTAATATAATATATTCTATAAAATTAATAATTTTATACAATTTAAAGTTTACATATTTAATAATATAATTACTAAAATAAGGAATCATACACTAAATACATAAAAATTATATTTTTTAACGACTAATCAATAATATTTTGTCATTTCTTATTACAAATTTATTAATTGTAACTGTAATTGTAATTTTAATTGTAAAATTAATACAAATTGTAATAACAATTACTACAAACATCTGTATGTAAAACAATATGTTCAATCTTTTTATATTATTCCTGTTTTTTAATAGTATGTATCATGAGGAGTAAAGGTACAAGATATTTCGTCAATTTTTTTTTATTTTATTTTTACTACTTTTTTATTTATGATTATACGCTTACTTGTTCTAACATTTTAATTCTAGTTTTCATACGCATGAAAACATGTACTGTATATCTGTCAATGTTTATGCACATGACGCGTCGGATCAGAGCATCGAGCAATAAATTAATTTTTATGATAATAATTAATGTTTAATTAATATTTGGTTAAAATTCTTATCAATATATATATACAATAATAACATGTTTAATAAAATTATTGTACATACTTAAGGACAACTTGATTGGGTACTAGTAAAAAAAAATTTAAATACTACTATAAAAAATGTGAAATTTAAATAATGAATTAAAAAATATGTTATAATTATGATTTATAAATATGTTAAATAATTGATTATTTTATTCTGTCGATTTAACCATATATTCTATTTTGTTAAATATAATAACCATATATATATTATATGGTACCATGTATACTAAATAAAGTAAATTTATTATTATGAATATATTATGTAAATGTATGTACAGTGAATTTATTAAAATATATTTTATAATCCAATAATAAAAAAATTAGATATTTGCCATATTATTAAGATACAATTACGAAATATTATATTCATTATATTATATATTTTTAGATGTTATTTTTACAATAACCATTTGAAACTGTTAAATATTTTATAAATTATCATTCATTCAATTATTATACGTAATTTCAAAATATACATCAATGTATATTAAACAGATTATAATAAATGTAATAAAATTAAAATCAAAAAATTTCAAAATGTAATTCTTTTACTAATTTTTAAGATAATAATTTTCTCAAATGTTTTTAAATAGAGTGAATTCATTCTTTAATTAATTTTTTATTTAATTTTATTTGTATTTATTAAGAAATTATAATTGCAATTGTAAAAACCCTAAAAATTTAATTTTATATTATATTCAGCTTCTCTTAGAATATTGAATAAAATCATTTTATAATGTTCTAAATCTATAATAATATCATAACAATTTAATAATATATAATTCATAAATTTATTATTGTTACCGTATTATTTAATGTTGATTGAAATATCAAATAAATATTTACTATAATAAATATACAACTTATTACTTAAGCAACTATTATATATTAATGAAACGCGTTAACTCATAAAATGATTACATTAATTATGTTTAACTACTACACAAAACAGGTATAATTTATTTTAATAGTATATTAATTATAAATTCGTAAATATATATGAATTTTAATCATTTATTTTATTGTGGTAGTATATTTTAAGAAATAACTCTGTTAATCAATCAATAATAATAAATTAGATGTTTATTATATAAAATTAAAAATATAGATATTTTTACAAACTTTACTTTTTATGCTGCTGGTTCGAAGATGCCAACAGTTATGTACTCAATCTCGTGACGAGATCTAGTGCACATATTTACATTTCGAGCTCATATAATAAAAGTAGATTATAGAATTAAAATCATTTTGTGCAACAGCGAGATCAGTGTTTAGTTGCATTTCATTCTGAATTCATATATACTTTGTACATTTATTTTTACTCACATTTGATTAAGAAAGTAATCGTGTATTATAGCTTACATTTTATGAAAAATTCAAATCATTGCAATACATAGAAATTATTTTTTTAATATTTTATTAAGTAAACTTAATGAATTTGTAGATAATAGATTAATTTCTCTTATGTATTATTTTTCAAACATAAAAATAATGTATAACAATTTTAAATAATGATTATCAATGTTTGTATAAAACATTTTAAAAACAGATAATAAAATTATAATTAAAACATTTAAATGAGCTTATGATTAATTAATCGCAAAATAAAATTAATAATATATCAAATTTTAATCTACTGGTTGTTTAAGATTTTATATTTAAGGTATAAATATTCTTAAAATAATACTTGCAATCTTCAATTAATTCATTTAAGTTCATATTATATTTAAATTTCAGTGAATTTACTTTTTTAATTAATGTAGATTTATATTTGAAACCAGATTAAAGTTGAATTTTATATACAGTAAGTATCCTCATAATATAATAATAGTAATTTTTGTAAATATAATATTTTATATTGTTATTAATAGAAAATTATTTTATTTTCTTATGAATATCAAGAAGTTATTACTATAAGAAAACTTCAAACAGCAACGAATCAATGTACTATTGATATAATTGTACATTTTTTAATAATAATAATAATACAATTTTTTATTAAGTTTTTTTATAATTTCGAATTTATTATGATAAATGTAACGTAATAAAATGATTTGTGCTGTAAAATGCTAAATATTTATTAAATTACTAAATATTTATCTTTCTAATATGCTTGTGAAGTATTTGCAATACTTTCATATGTAATACATTACAACGTATACTTTTAATTTTTTTAATTAACATTTTTTTCATTGTTTAATTCTAAAAGGTTAATATTAATAAATAAAAATTTTATTTTTTTTTTATTTTTATATGTTAATTTGTAATTTGTAATTTTTAAAATGTAATATGTAAAAAAAATGCAAAATGTAATTTGTAAAATGTAATTAGTAATTTGTAAAACGTAATTTGTAATTTGTAATTAGTAATTTGTAAAATGTAATTTGTAAAAAAAAACTAATTTTCATTTGTAATATATAAGAAAATATTGTATAAAAAATGATTGAAAAACATTAAGATTTAACATTAAGAGTATGATAATTGAAATGAAATTCAAACAATAATCATTTATATTTCATCATAATTGATTTCTAACAAACTTTTACGGAAATATACACAATTGCATTAATAAAAAGGCGAGCTTTTAAGTGTCAGTAATAAGTGAATATTAATTGTGTAAGGTTTACAGTTGTTAATAACTAAGTAAAATTTACACTATTAAAGTGAATAATTGTGATGATAGCTATGTCATTATCATGTCGCTTATATACATTATTATAATATGTTATCGATATATTAAATCCTGAAATATTCAAATTTACTATTTCTTGAATATTATGATTATAATTATATTGATTTAAAATCTGTTTTTATGACTCATTGACTTACTTTTAATATTATGAAAATATTACTAAGGCTACTTTAGAATGTTTTAATA